TCGATGAATGTTAAAGATAAGGCTCCCTCCACCAATTTAAGAGTATCCCGAGAGCTATACAACTCTCTTTCAAAGTAAGGTGTGAGAAAGGAGAACCCTCAGCTAAGGTCCTCCCCACTCCCTTGGCTCCTCAGCATTCTCGTCGCTTGACCATGAGTGCCATTCACCCCTTATCTTTGCAATGACGATCTTTATTTGGAATATAAGGGTTTGGGCCACCAAGGAAAACGGCAAAATATTCGTCAATTTGTTTCACAGTATTCTCCCTCTCTTCTTGGCTTGGTGGAAACCAAGCTTCCTTCCCTCACCCTCTCCCAAATTCGGAATATTTGGGGCTTTCTCTTACCAGTGGTTAGCTCTGGATGCAATAGGACCTTTTAGCGGTATTTGGGTCCTTTGGGACCCATCTCAACACACCTTAGTTGCCTCTCACATTGGCAAGTTCTCTATCATAATGACCCTAGCTTGATCACTGATTCCCTCCATTGGAAGTGCATTGTGGTCTATGGACCACAAGAAAACAACGAGATGTTGGCCGTTTTGAGAGAGTTAACAGTCCTTGATGACCCTCCCTTTTTCTAAGTGGTGCGTAGGAGGTGATTTTAATATCACCAGATGGTCTCATAACAGTCTTCTAGACATCCTGTTGGAAGGAGCGGAATTCAGTTGGTCTAGTCATTCAACTAATCCAAGCCTCTCAAATTTAGATAGATTTCTAACCCCTCTCGAGTGGGATCATGAGTTCCCTAGCACCCACTCTCTGGTGCTTCCCAAATCAAAGACCTATCTTGCTAGATGCCCTGTCCCTCCCTCGAGGGCCTAAGCCTTTTCGCTTTGAGCTGTCTAGGCTCTAAGAGCCTAGCTTCCACTCTCCTGTCCGTAACCATTGGGAGTCCTTCTCCCCCCTCGTGAATGGGTGGGCCGGTTTTATCTTGTCGAAAAAGCTTTAAAAGCTTAAAGTTTTCCTGAAATCATGGAGTTCATAGCTCCCTGGAAACTTCTGATACCAAAAAGACTCCCTTTTGAGGTCTATTCAACACTGAGACTCCATTGAAGAACTTAGACCACTCTCCCCTTCAGCTGGATTCTCAATCCATCCACAAACGTGATTACTAGTTCCTCCTAAAGAAAGAAGAAATTTATTGGGCTCAGCAGGCCAAAGTCAAATGGCTCAAGCTTGGCAACCAAAATACAGCTTACGTCCACAAAATAGCCAACTGTAGAAGAAGGGAGAACTCTATTACCCACTTCAAGGTGGGGGACCAGATTGTTGATCATCCCAATCTCATTGAGGCAGCGGCTATTGAATATTTTTCCAAGTTTTTCTCTTCCCTTTCTGGTCCTAGGCCAGTAATGGTGGGCTTCTCCTTCGCCTCTATTTCTCTCGAATCTGCAGCCTCTTTGGAAAGCCCTTTTTAGGAGGACAAAGTACTCCAAGCCATTAAAGACCTCAATGGAGACCGGGCCCCCGGCCCTGACAGCTTCCCCATAGCCCTCTTCAAAATCTTTTGGGATAACCTTAGGACTGATATCATGGCTTTCTTTTCTGAATTTCACTCCCGAGCTACTATCCATAAGGTGATGAATGCCACTTTCATTGCCAAGATCCCCAAGAAAGAGGAGCAAAAGAGCTTAAAGACTTCAAACCCATATTAGTCTGATTAATACCTCCTACAAAATTCTCTTGAAGGCCTGGCTTCCCGCGATAAACGTGTCCTTGGTCAGGTGGTCTTATCATCCCAAGGGACCTTTGTGAAGGAACGTCAGATTCTCGATGGTGCTCTAATAGCACACAAGCACAAAAATCCCAGGCTTGGTAATCAAAAAGCTTATGATGATGAGACTTTGTCCAGAATGCCATTTGGCTCTCTATGGTGGAGATGGATCCAAGGGTGTATTTCAAAACCCCAATTTTTGGACCTTATTAATGACACATCTAAGAGTTACATTCATGCTTTGAGAGGGCTCCGCCAAGGGGATCCCCTTTCACCGTTCCTATTTGCCATAGTGGCTGAGGTGTTCAGTGCCTCACTATCTCATGTGTACAGCACGGGACGCATTTAGGGTTTCCAAATGAGTAGGTCGGGTCTCTCTATATTCCACCTCCAATATGTTGATGATACCCTCCTTTTTTGCGATGCATTTTGTTAAAAAGTTAGTTGTTTTTTGCTCTTCCTCCAATGCTTCAAGTTGGCTACGAGCTTTAGGGTGAACCTAGAAAAAACAAAGATGACAGGAATCTGCCTCGACCAAGCCATAGTCATACTGCGCTGACTCATGGGAATGTGTTGTAGAGCCAATGCCCTCATCCTATCTTAGCCTTCCAACTTGCATTGGCCTTCCTCGAATCCAGTTATGGAGCCTGGTTATAGACAAAGTCGAGTGGCACCTGGCTTCATGGAAAGGGAGAGTCCATTCACCAAGCTGCAGAGTAACCCTTATCAAGGCCACAATCTCCAGCATTTCCCTTTTCATTATGTCATTTTTCTTTATGGTCGTAGTCGCTAGACTGGAAAAACTCATGAGGGCTCTAAGGCTGCTCATTGAAGGGCAAGTGAAGGAAGTCTAGCCCCAAGCACGAGAGCTTATGAATGTGGAAGTGTCTATCAATGGAAAACCTACTAAGGCTATAGTAGACACTGGGGCTACACACAACTTTGTGGCAGATCAAGAGGCACGTCGGCTGAACCTCAGTGAAGGAACTGGATGGTCTCTCACTAAAATCAAATACTTGCGGGCGTCGCTCAGCCTCCTTTCAAGGGAAGGGAAGCCTGAACTTTCCGCGCTCCCTCCCTCACTTGCCCCTGACAACGAAGCAAGAATTGAATCAATTACTCGTTTCAGTCAGCTTGCTCTCGAACTAGCCGTACTTGAACCGACCTCATAGACATGATGAAACTCGATTCCTTGTTCACCTCCTCCCCACCTGCTTTACTACTCCCTTGCTAGTTTCTTTTGTCTGACCTGTAACCCTTCCTCTTCGGTGGCAGAAAGCATTACTGGTCCACCTAATGTGAGATCTTGGAACCCAAATTTCAGGAGACTCTTAGTTGACAACATGCTTCACCAGTTTTTGAATCTCTCGGTCTTGCCCCTCTCCATCAGGTTCATTCACAGTTGCTTCATTTTACTAAAACTTATACTCCCCGCCTTCTCCTCCCCGCTCGGCCTTTCCCTCTATAGCCACCAAGGCTTGGTGCTCCTTTTTGCCCTCAAAATCCAGCTTTTTACTTGGATAGCACTCCATCAAAGGGCTTCGACACTCGACCAACTACAGCAAAGGGGTATCCCTTTTCTTAACAGATGCACCATGTGCCTCCAAGCTGAAGAAACCAATCAACATCTATTTCTAAATTGCGAGGTTGCCTTGGCCATTTGGACCGACCTTCTTCTTCTATCCAAGTGGCTGTGGGTCATTCCCCAATCAATCCCTCACCTCTTCTCCTTATGCCTTAGAACTCCTTGGAAAAATTCAAGAAATCTTCTATGGAGAGCTTCTTTATGAAGGACACCGGAACCCAGGGCCATCTGATGGCTGCTCTCTAGGCAACCAGGGCCCCTCAGGCATTGGACTCCTTTTTAAGAATTCTGAAGCCCCGATCCTCCTTTCTTATGCCCTGCCTATCGGAGTCGAGGACTCCTCATTCGCTAAGGCCAAGTCTCTACTCAAAGGACTCAGAAGATTTAATCAATCAACATCTATTTCTAAATTGCGAGGTTGCCTTGGCCCTTTGGACCGACCTTCTTCTTCTATCCAAGTGGCTGTGGGTCATTCCCTAATCGATCCCTCACCTGTTCTCCTTATGCCTTGGTACTCCTGCGAAAAATTCAAGAAAGTTTCTATGGAGAGCTTCCATCTCAGCCACTCTTTGGACTACTTGAATTGAGAGGAATAATAGGATATTTAGCTAGGAGAGAGCCTCTACCTCAGCCCTTATTGAAAAAAGGAGGTCACTTGTCACATTCTGGGCCCTAAACCTCCCAAGCTTCTCCATCTTCTCCTTTTCAGATATTCACCAAAATTGGCATGTGTTGCTGCACCTAAGTACCCACAGGATTCCTCAAGCTTCTTTATGAAGGACACCGGAACCGGGGGCCATCTGATGGCTGCTCTCTAGGCAACCAGGCCCCTCAGGCATTGGACGCCTTTTTTGGACACTAGATAACATTTTTGTTGAAATTGGCCACATTTGCAGTAGTATCCAAGTCTCTTGGAGACACACTCATAGGAATTGTAACGCTGCGGCAGATGCACTAGCAAGGGAGGGCGCAAGTCTCGACTATCCCTAGGGGAATTTGGACCCCCCTTAGCTCTCACCTCATTTTTTGATCTATTGCAGAGATTCTCGGACCCTCAAGGGTTCCTGTATAGGGCACCCTGTTTTGGGGATTGCTTAATTTTTGTTTGTAATTCTCTATACAATCAATGCAAAAGTCATCTTCCTCAAAGAAGGTTCGTTGACTAATGGAAAACATGTTGATTTATTGCATTTGGGTTTTATGCCTAGAGGATTCACTAGAAGGTTCAGAACTTTGTAATACTAGATCTTTCTATTTGGTTTATGTTCACCTGAATTTGGTCTAATTTGGTTAGATGTTCATATTTCTGCCTCTTTTTGTCAGTTTTTTATTTCTTGTGTGTTTGTTTGGTGGGGGGGGGGGAGGGTGTGTGTGTGTGTGTGAGAGAGAGAGAGAAATTCATAGATGACACGAATTGCATCTCAAGACATTGATATTTCAGTTGACTTGGGATTTGAATTCTTCCCATAATATGATGGCAAACTGCAAATAGAACATTTGTGAGTATGAAACTTTGGGATTAGTCATTATTTTGAACATGGACCACAAAAGTATAAATAGCCATTGAATATGGAAAATGAGGCTTTATGTACTGTTTGTTTGCCTTTTACTAGCTGCATTATAGATATTTGTTGTTTGTTTTGTTAAACAAGGTGGTTTCTCAGTTATCTCTATTATTAAATCAATGTAATTTTTTGTAGGTGGTAGAGCTGGGATTTACCCTAGCAGCACTTGCTCATGTTTGACACAATGCCATGCTGGATGAAAAGAACAATAAGTTATGCCAGCAGTGGAGGCCTGTTGTTCAAGCATTTCAGGCATATTTTCAGCTTTGCTACAGGAGATTTGGTAGCTTGCTGTACAGGTACTATTTAATACTGTTATTCTATGTTGTTGATCCCCTTAGGCTGGAGGAATATCTAAATAACTGATTAAAGCTCAGTTCGTGAAATTGGGGAATTCTCTGTGTATTGTAGTCTCTGGTGGTATTTGCCATTATAAGTAATCTTGTAACCATTTATCACCATTTCCTCTTATTCTTTCCATCCTACTATGTATGTGATTAAGCACCTATTCATTGTACATTCTCTCATATCTATATTTTTTTCAGCACTTTTATCCCATTATTCCCCTCTCCTTACCCCCAGCAGCTAGAGCAAACCATATCCATTTTCCGGATATTACTTTGTAATTGTGCAAGCCTCTCTCTCTCTCTTTCTCTCTCTCCCCCTTACACGCCGACACACGTGCACGTGCACATTTGCACAAACAAAATAAAAAATAACTGTTGCTATCCTTGAAAGAAGTATTAAGCACATTTACATGTAGAACATTTGCTTCTGGGTTTTTTAGTTAAGTATATATAAAACAATAAAAAAGTATACAAAGAGACCATTTACTTTTTGTACGAAGTCACAATCATTCATGTCCCTTAGATCTCAAATTGGGTGGTTGTAGGAGTGTCAATAAATAAACTCAAAGTTTGAAAAGAAATTTCTCGGACTTTGTGATCCACCCTACGCCATCAAATTCGACATCCAATGAGTAGAAATAATTGTGAACCCCTTATACAAAAAGTAAATGGTCTCTTTGTATACAATCCTGAGAACATTTGCTCCTTGCGTGATCAATAAGGTCTGTTGATATCAATCGACAATTTGACTTGGGCATATGTGTCTCCTATTTTGTCTAAATATGCATGGGAATTTTCAAATTTTGAATACTCATTACTCTCATGGTTGAGTGACCAATTTATATGATTATATTACCTAATTTTGATTTCTTTTTTTTTCCATGTACCCCTAGCAAGATAACTAATCTTGAATTTTTTGCATAAGGAACATGCATGCTTTGGAATTTCACCCCATCATCATGCATGGAGGGCATATCACTTTTATTGAAGTCCATCCTGAAGTATACTATAGAGATGAACGCAATTGTAGAGTTAAAAGTTCTTGAACTCTGAGTGATCTGGGCTGACCTGATTGCTGATTGGCAAGCATGGGAAGAAGTGAAGGACATGTCCATCTTTGATGCCATAAAACTAGTTGTTCATTTGCATGGAAGACACTAAATAAAGGGCGTTGCTAGCCCCACATGCACCTCCTATTTCCTAATGTTCAATAATCGAAGGCATCGATACATTTATCAGCGAGTCATGGAAGGACCCTTTGCTGCAACATGGAGCGCTTGCTCTTGTGCACATGTTTTACTTGATTTGCCAAGGTTCTCATTTGAAACTGAAAGAATTAAACAAGCATTAGCAATTGCTTTTTATAAAGCCACATTTTCACGTTCTCTTGACATTCTGAGCAAGCCAGGGGCTTTGTGGAAGCCTCTTTTTCTGTTTATTACATCTTGTATATATTTTGCCTTGATTATATAAATAAGTTTTTGGAGAAGGATGAGGATGAAGGTTTCACTGTGTGGGTGTGTTGATTGGCATGTATTTCAGCTCATTTGTTCCAGCCTGGTCTTTCCTCTGACTCTGAGATATGAGTTTGGTTGCTTTGCTTTAGTATCAAATGAGCCATGAATATTCCTGTGTGTATCTTTATACACACATCTTATTTCTGATTGGTGATTTTTGAAACCTATCATCCAAAATTTTTGACAACCTTTTGCCCCTATATTTATTAACATACATGTCTTTTACTTTCTATAAAACCAATGGAAGGCACTGAATATAAACTCCAAATTATCTCGAAATGACAATGAGATTCTCATGTGCTTAACTAAGGTAGCATTGCAAGTGGCACACTTAAAACAATGACTTTCCCATTGATATTCTATCCTTGTCCAAGAACAACAAGAGAGAGAGAGAGGCTGTACTTTTTGTAAAGAGAAAGAAGCTTGAGCGCAATTTCACGTCTAGGAAGTAACTAACAAAATTGGTGCCATTATTAAAATAACTTCATGAGTGAAAAAACCTATGCCATCAAGAATAGAGAAAGAAGATTGGTCCCATAGCAAACAGAGCATTTTACAAGATGAGAGAAACTTTATGGAAAGGAAGGACTTGAAAGAAGCCATACTCGCTGCCTCTATTGCAAGAGATCATATTACCGAAGTGTTTCTCATAAAAACTGAAGTATGGGTATGTATTGTTTTCGTTAAAAAATATGATTTTTTGAAGATCTATTGAAAAACCTGAGTTTTGAAAGGATTTCAATAATCAGAGATTTTTTAAAAACTCTTGTTTTAAACAACGACTTGCTAGCTTGGGGGTTCAAGTTTTGGCCTTGTAGGTTTGGGGTTAAGGAAATTGGGGTTTTCAATTTTTTATGATCAATAATAGAGCATCCAGGAGGAGAGATAAATTGAGGGTTTTAGAGAGAGTCTGCGTGAGAGCCAAAAAAAAGAGTTAAAAATTGGAGCTTATTTAAGAAAATTTATTTTTTATGATACCTAAGTAGTTTTCTATATTTCTATTGATAGCTTTTGTCACACCCCAAGAATTTACAGTACTGTTATTCCTGAGATGTGACAGACAAAACATATATACATCTATTGATAGGACAAATTTACAGTGGCGAGGTCTTACATAGTAAATAAAGAAAGCTAGCACAACAACAGTATCTTCCAAAGTTGATCTTGACTAGCACTCAAAATGAATCTGTAGTTATCTTGAAAAATGTTTACCATAGTTTGATGAGTTTGGCTACTCAGTAAGTGATCATCATAATCCTAAAAATAATCATGATTGAAAGATATCAATATTTTTCAAAATGAAATCTATTAACAGAAATGCATCAACAGTTTCACTTTCAATAAATGCATAATTAAGTATAATCCGAGTAATTGAAATGCTTATAACACTTTTAACGGCAGTACATAATTCAAAGGATTTCACAAAATACCCTACTGGCGTCCCAAGTAGGTCACCTATATACCCCATCAGCGTCCTGATGGGTCCACTTAATCCCTATCGGCATCCCAGATAAGTCCACTTAATCCCTGCAGGTCCACTTATACCTCACCGGTGTACCAGATGAGTTCATTTAATCCCTACCGGCGTCCCAGATAGGTCCACTTATACCTCACCGGCAAACCGGATGAGTCCACTTGCATACTTAAATTATTTCTAAATCTCTTTAAACATTCAAAAGCAGCAATATCATGTACTCAACATATCACTAAAATCATTAATATGAATTTCACTTAAACCATTAATAACAATCACTCTATATAACATTTCAAAAATAACCAATCAAATATTTTGGGCTCAAATTTAAAAAGGTAGCAGTTTGTAAAGGCATTCTAGCATAATTGCCAATTTAATATGTATAGAAAAAACTCTTATAAAAATTCAAGAATACGGAATTATCACAATTTATGGGATATCAATCCACAAATAAACATTTCACAACAATACTATAATCAATTGCAAAAATGTCAATTTTTTTAAATAATAAGGCAGTCATTTGAACATGAATTTTACAATGTCTAAATATTCAAAACAGTAGAAAGAAATATCACAATTTTACTAAAAGCAGAAATATCACATTTATTTCTAACAATAAACAAGAAAAATAAATAAATTTATTTTTCTAATTTACAGCATTCAAAATTTCTAACATAGATAAAATATCACAATTTTTATCAAAAAGATTATTTTTCAAGATAATGAGGTCACGTGCGCATAAAATTTATCGCGCCTAAAATTCATGATAATAAGCAAAAATAATTATTTCATTTTATTTTTAAAAAGAATGAATTATTTTTCGAGACAATGAGGTCACTTACACATAAAACTGATAAAATAAAGTTCCTAGACGAAAATATCACTATTTATTAGAAATAGACTATTTTTCAGGAAGACGATGTCACTTACCCACAATTATTTGAGAGGGAGCTTCCGATAAAAATTTCGGTTCGAGAGAGAAGTTCACAGTGTTTCGACCAGAGAGAGAGAGAGAGATCTTAAAATTTTTTAGAGTGGGAGTGCTCACCTCCCCTATTTAAATTCTTATAACTTATTATTATAATATTTTATTACGCTCTACCTCATACCTGAGGTGTCGCGTTAAGCGTCTGCTTTTAACATACGAAAACCACGTCCGCTAAAGGACGTGACGAGCAGCAGGCAGCAAGAAGCAGGCAGCAAAAGCAAAGGCAAAGGCAAAGGCAAAAACTTTTGAAAATAGTGATGGTCCCCAAGGACCATCATACTCAAACAGACCATCACCTATTTAAAAGCATCTTGTCTTCCCTTTTTTTTTTTTTTTTTTTTGAAATTTTAGGATTGTTACAACTTTTCTCATGCTAAATATTAATATATTTTTTCTTCTAATTTTTACCAAATTTTTAGAAATTGTTTTTAGTTTTTATGGGGCTAGTTTGGGCCTAAATGTAGTGAGGTTAGCTTTACTTAGCTCGTATCGGCTCAGCTCAGCCAATAATGATGAATATCGGCTCGGCTCGGTTTATTTCGGCTAAAATCAGCTCGGCTTGGCTCAGTTATATTAGACTCAGCTCGGCTAGATTCGGCTCGGCTCAGCTGACTTCACGTAAATTTGTAATGAACCTCTAATGGAGTTGAGCTAAGCCGAATAATATAAGCCGAGCCGAGCCGGTATCAGCTAAGACGAGCTGATATCAGTAGAGCCGAAGCCATATCAGTCGAGCCGCACCGACCAAGCCAGCCCGTCCACAACCTCCTTTTTTATTTATAAAAAGAAAAAAAGGGAAAACCCAATCCCGTTCTTTTTTCCACTCCGTGTCCCTGGGTAAAGTGGGAGATTAGTTTGAGGATTGGGATTTTGGGAAACATTCTTCACTGCTTTAGGTTTTATGTGTCATGAGAAAATGATTTTGGTTTGTTTCTTGATCACTATGAGAATAAATAAATGGAATGGCGGCTGCTTCAATTGTTGGGAGAAAGAGAAGTACATTTGTACCAGTTAGAGAGAGAGATTTGCAATTCTTTCAGAGAGAGAGAGAACATAAAGAGATTATAGAAAAACACAGGGAAGAAGGAACAAGTGGAAAAGAAAAAGATGCGGTAGTTCTCTTTCTAGCTGATTATCAATTAAGAGGATAAGGGGTTTGCTTTCCTTTTCCTACATGAGAGAGGGAAAATGCCTGGCCAGAAAAAAAAGGAGCAAAAGGGCATATGCTAGCATCCTGACCTCCACCACTTCCTTGGGCTCACTCTTTAATAAAGGTGTATCTGATGCGAGAGGAATTTGAGTTGCTTGACCTCTTGTTTTCATTTCTTTCAGGTTCTTAATAAAGTTTTTGCTTTTAGATAAATACAACCACAAGAATTAGAATGAAAGAAATCCATCACAAAATTGCTTTTAGATAAATACAACCACAAGAATTAGGATGAAAGAAATCCATCACAAAATTAACTAAATAGAGCACACAATGCAGTGGACAACAAAAGCAATCCTAGACAAAACCAAACTAAAGTTTGGTAATTTGGATACAATTTATGAAGAAACTGTTGATGCCCCAAGTAGTTCAGCTGGAAATATGCAGTATATCAAATTGCAAATAGAGGGGGCAAACCAGAGACTGCCACTTCTTGTGGATTGGTTCCTGAGTCCTTTGGCAACTGTCGATGCCACTGAGAGTATAGATGTTGCAAGGAGTGGTCATTTCTTTCTGTTGGGTCTTGAAGCTATGTCTGCATTATGCTCTGAAAATCCAAGTTCACCAATTTTACATGTTCCTTTGGTTTGGAAATTACATGCATTGTTCATAGTTTTCCTCAAAAGAAATGACATTCTTGAAGAGAAGCAAACCAGAGATACTTTCAAAACTTTACAGGACATGTATGGGCAACATCTGGACAAACTGAGACAAAGAAGACCTGAAGTCATTCCTGAAAATGAAAAATCCTTTGGTGTATATAGCAGAGAAATCCTCTACTTCGTAAAAGCGGTCCACGAAAGTTATGGCTCATTTATTGAGATCCCCATTGAGCAATTCAGTGTTGTATCCTATGGTGATGTACCCTTTGGCCATCAATTAGGTGTATATCTCCACCGTACAGTAGAAGTGCCAATCAGACTTACTGCATAGAAAGCACTATCCAATGCCCATATATAAATGATTGCATTGCCGAGATTGAAGGATATCTGATCCATTTTGAGGTACTGGATTAGACTTTTGTTTGCTTCCATGCCCCGACTTTACTTCATACTAGCATCCTTTGACAAAGCTCTGTCTCTGACTTATGTTGTGCACTGTTTTTTAGTGAGAGAAAGAGAAGTACATTTGTAAATAGTTAGAGAGATAAAGGTTTGCATTCTTTCAATGAGAGAGAGAGTGAGAACATAAAGAGATTGTAACAGAAATACAAATAGAAGAAGGAACAAGTGGAAAAGAAAAAGGTGTCGTGGTTCTCTCTCTCTCTAACTGATCATCAATCAAGAGGATAAGGGGCATATCTGTGCAAAGTTTGAATGTGCATCT